CGAGTGATTCCGTTAAACGTGCGATTTTAACCGTCAGAACGTTTATGAAGGGTTTAAAGGAAGATGAATGATAGTCCATTAGTCCATTTTTTTTATCCAAATATTTAATTGTTGCTTAGTTCATTAAAATCATTAATCGCTTATATAAAAACATTTTTTAATTATATAAACCCTTAAAGCATGTGTTTTTTTTTCCAAATGTTCGACGGGTAAAAAATTGAAAACGTTGCTTTCGCACGATCGAAAAAATGCTACGAACGGACTATTATCCTTTTACCCGTGTAGCATCGACATTGTTTACCGATAATCTGTGGAAAATCGGAGCCCTGCAAGACGATTATGGTAAAATGATTATTTTTATTCTGTATAATTCTCGCCGTATTGGATGCTCACGTGTACCGGCAAATCGGGGGCGTACGTGATTCGAAGGCTGCTAATATACTGTAACGGCACAACTTACCGCCACGCTTTTATCACAATAATTATATTAATACAACGATGTTCCGAAACATGGTAAAAAAATAAATAATCGTTCTCGAGCCACGTGAGGTGTTTCTTTTTCAAACGGAAACGTCGGTCGGAGAAAAACCGAAACGGATAGCTTAATACAGTACGGCAAATCACGCCGCGATGGACGTCCGACCAATTTTAGTAGTCATATCGAATCAAATCTGAGATATTCCGCGGTCGCAGACGTGCATTGTATCGCTGTCGAGCCCACACGCATGGTTTCGTGGTTAACGTGACGTCGGATTCTGGAGAGGTGCGTCCGTGAAAAGGACTCTGCGGTGCGTTTGCCAATCGCTGAGAATATTTGTGTAGTAAAAAAAAAAAAAAAAAAAAAATGTAAAAAAAAAACAAAATAAGAAGAGAAAACATGATATACGGGCGTAATAAGAAAAAAATCGCTTGGCAACTGGCCCTGCTGTGACTGACCGGCCGCGAAGACTTGCCAGCCTTCTGCATGAGTTCGTGCGTCTCTTATTATTATTATTTTTATTTTTTTTTTCCCATCGTTCTTAAACGACCTACTTTAGATTTCCGGACACGTTTATCGAAAACGACCCGAGTACGTGTGCAGTCGCCCGACCGATATTTACTCCCGACAAGGCTTTCGAAAAATCGTTGCGCGCCTAGTGTGAAGGTAATGAAAACGCGCTCGATTGCGATCCGTGAGACGGTAAAAAAACAAGTGTAGACCGACCTTCGATATATCGCTATCATCGTACTGGCTCGCTTGCGTTCGAAAACGGTTGGTCGCTGTGACTGTGACCCGATCAACATATTGCCGTGTTCCGTTCGTGCATCTACTCGTACAGACTCGCCTATTTTAATGCGGATATGAATTCACGTATTCCACGTAGTTTTTTACTACAGTTTGTTTATTTTTATATTTATTTTTTTTCGTATTTTCGGTAAGATTCACAGAGATAAAAACGATTATGCGATCGAGTTAACGGCAAGAGAGTGGGCGTAGAATTTAAACGTTTTTTCTTAATCTCAAGCTTCACTAAATTCTTTCTTGATATTGTGCACGTAATGCTTATTGCACGTTTTTAACATCCCCGAATAATCGCGCTCACAGTTGTGCTCGTACGCGTGGACGTGAGAAAAAAAATAACGATATTCGGTAGTCAACAAACAACCCTTCACCATCACGAACCCAAGGTATATGCGCGCTAAACGGAAATAATGAGGTTCAAGGGTGGCGGCAGATGTCGAGACGTGCTGAAAAAATTTGTAATTTAGCTCGTGTGCCATGGGTTATCCTTACATACACACATACACATGCCTTTCAACAGAGGTTATTCAATCCTTTATTTCTGTTGACTCTGTCCCGTTCCTTTTTCGTGTAGAATGAACCGATTTGCATGCGCCCGAAATATTCTTCTCGTTCTTTCCAACCTTTCCGAAAATGGTGACACAGACACACGTACATAAACACACATGTGCACACTCGCACACATACGCATATAAACTACCTGTATTGGACAAAAACGACCACGTTTTCTCAGAGACTGTGCTACATAGAGAAGCGGGTGGTCTGCTACGGACAAGTTCAACGTCATAATCCGCTCTCTTCCGGTACGAATCGCGTTGTTATGACGGTGTAGGTACACTACATTCTCATTTACTTCACGAAAAAGAGTGGAAATAACATAAAATAAAATAAACATAAAACCGGAAGTTAAATACGTGATCACAATACGCAAGAGGCAAGTAAAAAAAAAAAAAAAAAACCAACGATGTTGGTTTGAGTGTCACCCGGTTAGAAATAAGTGAAGATGCTCGTTCGACTTCTAAACACAGTTAGATCTTACTAGATTTTAACGTGTCAATTAAGACGTCATAGATGATTCGTCATCACCGTTATTTTGAGAAATTTGAACAAAAAATAAAAAGTAAAATCCATTGCTATGCGCCGGTGACTATTTTTAAGGAATATTGTCCTGTCAGAATGATTTCCGTTCCGTGATTAGTGATACCGATAAAACTGTTGGTCATATGATGACGATCATTATTATAATCATAACTATAAATTTTTTTTTTTTTTCAAACGCACTATCGTGATTATGCCATGGCAATCGAATAGTATTTAAATATGTATACAGTTTGATTGTACGTAATTTGATTTTAGATTGTTCGAAGATTGAGTGAAACGATATTGAGCTTACATGACTTTAAAACACAACATTGAAATGCTATTAGTCTACAACCTAGGAATTACAGTTTCAATACGGAAATATTTAACTAGAACTCACATATTAATCAGCAGTACAAGGTTTGGAAAATGTAAATGCGACAACTATCTATGGAATTCTTTGATGGAAAATAAAACAACGTATATTGATTTTTAAACAAATTTATATTATGAACTTATAGTTTCGGAGTTAGTCTATTTTTTTTTTTTTTTTAGACGTGCCGCTTTGATAATGTTATCCAAATGAAAAAAGACTTTTTCTTCCAACTTTTGATTTTTTTTTTGCTTACATTAAATCATTAAATGTAGCATTTCAACTATATAATTTTATGGGTCAAAAGTAGTTTTAGTCATAATAAATATGTGAATCATACAAGTGCATTTTTAGCTTTGAGGGACATTTCAAACATTTAAGATAATAATCTTGAAATAATGTATTACTTGTAAAATATAAAACAAATATTCAAATTTACGTAAATTACATAATTTTTCATTTTTATAAATTTAAAAATAATAAAACAGCTATATCTCTTAATATCAATATATATATATAATACTTTAATAATGATAACAAAACAAATGTTTAACTTCTTAGGTACCTTCCTAATAACTTTGCACTTGAAAATAGAGTATAACAATAAACAGTAACATTTTATAAACTTGAATAATATATTATAATAATAGAATAATAACAAAATTATGTAGTATTTTGATCAAAGAGTTGTCTATATTTCGATTTTGATCAGACATTCAAAATCTAGATCATTGAATTTGACATGGATAAAACTTTCTATGATATCAGAAGATTTATTCAACCACTGAGTAACAATGGAAATACCAATTTTTACACTTATTACTACTTATCATTATATACTTATAATTTGTATATTATATTTATTTTATGAAAATAAAATCTTACAACATTGTTTAGATATATACCAAATTATACAATACTTGTACCTATTTGTGTCAATAAATGTATTGATAAAGATCAGCTGATTTATTACAAATATCAAAAATATTAATTTTTGAATTTATTTTAAGGAAAATTAAATATATAAGGAGTAAATATAATGTGTTAAAAGTAATTAGAACCAAACTTTAAGAACTACTAAAAATGTCAAACATTTGAATGCTGAGTTGATCGTTTTAATCGACTAATAACAAAGAAACTGATATTTAAACGATATCTGATAAGCTATGAGTATTTGATTCCTGAAGTCGAAAAAATCGACATAGCTATGTGGAATAAAATGATCTCTCATAGCAGTCAACGTAATTGATTTAAAATCTAAAGTATTAATGGTTATTAATACAATTTAAACAATAATCTATATCATAATTTACAACCATTATTGTTGTCAAACTTTTATGCAAATTGCAACTCTGTACTCAACTACATATTCTATACGAATCAAAGTACGTAGTATTGAACTGAATTAATGATTGAAGTGTACGTTTTAAAACGTATAGTTACGTATTGTATTTCTACATGAATTATTCATTTTAGCGTGACCATTTTATATCGGTCCACGAGAATGTTCCTTGAGATCAATAATACCAGTGTTACTACGTGATGGTTTATATGTCAACACGTACTGAACGCTAAAACATGACATCTGTACTCGTGTACCAAGCACTTTGGCTAAGTCTAAACGATTTTTGAATCATTCGTGAGCAGTAGGTATAAAATGTATCGTTTAATCTAAAATCAATCAATAATGGAATATTATCGATACCGTGTTGCACTTTAATTTAAAATGACACTATTCCTCCGCAGTATTGGTTGCCTTCATGTTATCCCACACAGAAAATGGAATATCTTAATATTTTAATCACATTTAGTGTTCATGTTCTTTTAAATATTATACATAGACATAATCAATACGACATATTTCAAACACGTACAAATTGTATATCATTATATGATAATAATATATAATATTAATATATTATATAAATATTGTACGTTTGTGGTTTTTACTTGATTACTTCTTTAGCAAAGTAAATTTTTTACAAAATCGAAGTTCATGTGCCCTATAAAAATTTGTCCTCTTTCTAGAAAAAAAAAAAAAAAAATTGAAATATCTGCGAAGATATGTTAAGTGTGGGTAGTGGGTTCGATAATTGTATTAATGGACGAATATAATAATTTATTATTATAATAATTATATTATATTATTGTCCCGCTATAAATAACTTTTCGATAACGATGTGTCAATGTGCATACTTGGCCGGGCGCGGGTGGCGGTACCGATGTCTCACCGCAGTACCTCACTCGCACTAATAATCATTTACGACTAACACAAACTAGATACCGGTTTGCGGTGACAAGACAATAAGTATACAAATTGCCAAAATATTATTCCTTATTATTCTATTTTACTGTTTTAGCACAATAATTGTTTATTAATTTTATTCCGTGGTAAAGATGGTAAAGTACAAAAACGTAGTGTGTTAAATTGGCTTTCTTATTAAGCATTGGTCACACTGATACTTGCCTCACTGCATAAAGTAATGGCAGTTACTGCGTAATTTATTGTTTTTCGATTTGGACAGCCACGCATATGCCCAATACCATATTGTTTATAGTTAATTTTAAAATAAATAAATTTGTGGCGTTTAAACATTTTCTTAATTTGTGCATTTGCCATTTGTGTTTTTTGAGTAATTATTGTGACTGCAGCTGCAGTCTCCACTAGTGGAGACGTAAAGTACTGAAAACGAGTTGTTGGGCGAGTAAAATCGTAAGTATTATATACTTTGTTTTATCTATATATTTTATAATATTATAAACTCAATCCCAAATGTGAAGGTAGATAACTATAAATAAATTGAATGTCGCAAACTCGCCAATATCAAAAAAATCCACTTTGCCGTATTTCCCTATATTAATACCGGGATCCTACACTCGTGGTCAATAATAAGTGTGTATTATACGTACTGTAATAATATATACACGTACTTGTGTACGAAAAAAAAAGACAAGTTAAAAGGAATCCATATATATTATGGATATAACTTAGTATTTTTTATTAATTTTAAATAAATAAATTTAATAAATATTTGTATCTCAGACAAAATTTTGATGAGTAACAATCTGTCAAGTCATGATGTACAAAAAAAATTCATATTTAAGAAGTGATTCAAATGTAAACAGAAATATTTTCACTTATAATTCATTACATTATTCTTCTGAGAAAAAAATCTTTGAAAAGTACGTATACTATATCAAGCAATTAGTTCAATACATAACAGTAATGTAATTATACTTATAAAATTCAAATAATGCTTTCTAGTTGGTTTAAAGTGTAAAATGGGTGACCATGTTTTTTTAAAATCATTATATTTGACGTATTATTTTTGTATTTAAGGCTATCATATATTTATATTATACTATTTATTATTTTTATAGAAAAAAATCTATCTGTGCCTTTTGAAAAACACATTTCTTCATGTTTAGCAGAAATAAAGTATGAGATTAAAAGTCATACTTATAAAATTGATTACTTAAAAGAGAAAATAGATTTGATTGAAGAAAATCTCAAATGTTTTAAATCATATAATAGAAATATTGGTACAAATAGTAATGATGATATGATGAGATGCTTACCGATGATATTATGTTTGATTCATTAATTTGTTTATGGCCTCTTAAGAATGATGACGATTTAAACGAGTTTGAAAATATATCAAAGGATACAACTAAGAAAAGACAATGTATGAGTAATATATACACAATTATCAAAAAAAAAAACATTTATTTCATGTATATATATTTTTTTTATAGGAAATGATATTATCGAGAGCGGTTTCAAAGAAGATACCTATAACCATAAGAGTTATGATGCAGTGAATGTTTACAGACAACTTTTTGTTAATTTTTTTTTTTTTTATTGGCTTCAAAGGGAAAAAAAAATTTCAAAGTTACACAGTTGTTCTTTAATTTTTGGTAAACATATTAATTTACAAAATTTAAATGTTTAAATATTTTAATTCTTTTTATGTTTTAGATTCTATAAGAAGAGTGAAAAAGTTTGAAAATGTGCCAGATTGTGATATTTCCAATCCAATAAAATCATGGTTAGCTCCATCGAATAACCGCTTAATTAAATAAAAAAAAAAAAAAAAATGATTCTACTCATGTATTTACAAATCATTAAAAAAATGATTATTTTTTATCATACATTTTTCATACAAAACTGCTTATCATTTTTTTTTTTATTATTATTATTATTACATTTAAGAAGTAAGGTGTAGTCATATATGATGTATATGATATATGATACAACTTTTTGACTTAGCTATCAAGAGTTTTTTATTTTGTTATGTTGATATATTTTTATACACCAGTATGCTATTATTACTTATTTTAATATTTTTTATTTCTAAATTGAAGATCAAGTTTTTATTTTATACTCATTGTTTTTGATTCTACAAGTATTAATCATAATATTTTACTATAAAAATACATTATCACATTATATTTACTATACATAAAAAGTTAAATTAAAAAATATATTTTTTATTGGATTAAATAAATAAATTAACACTATTTTAGAATGTACTTGTTTTATATTATATTATGGCCTTTTAATTGTAGTTGCTTTCTTATCCATATGGTCTTTATAATATTGAGTTTATACTTTATTATATTATTGATAAACGACAACCATATTTTATATTATTATATATATATATATATATTATTCTGGCATTGCTACAATAAGTAAGATTAATTATTATAAATAAATATAAAATACATTTCTATATATAGGTATGCAAAAAATTAATAATTAAATTAAAAATAAATATTATCTAGAGATTACTACTAAAATACTACTGATAGAATAATCCATTTACAAGTTAACAAAAATACTACTGTATTATATTGTTTATTAAATTGTTTTTTAATGTTTCAAATCATTTAGAACCAACAATAAATGTGGCTATTAATATTTTATGCACTTTGAAAAACATCATATAATCATTTACTGGAAATATGTAATAATTAATATGTTGAAAATATATGTAAATCATATAGTAAACATATTGATATTTTTGACAAAACATATTCAGAACACGAATATACAACTTAACCTAAAAAGACATTTTTTCATAATATTTTAGACACTATAATATGTTTCTCTAACATATTGTTGAAATATGTTAACAATGTTTTATTGCTGTGTGGGATTTTACACCATCACAATGTTGTTCTGGGTGGCTCCGAAAAGGGCCGTTTTCGTCTGAGGGCGGGCTCCGTTACAACTCGACCGAACATATTGTACATACAACATTGGAAAAATTGTGGGTAATATGTTGTTGAGTTTAATTAAATTGCGTTTGAAGTTTTCACTTTTATTCGTCGGCTCACTCAAACGACTGTTTTGTGAAACTTTCGACGTAAGTGCGTAAGTTATGATGTACGGCTATGCTTTCATATGATTAAGGTAATACCTTATTCGCGCCGGATTAATGAAATTCCGATAATACTGTCTTGCACACATCAGTGTTCAAGAAAGTTCTAGACCGATCCAATACTATATTATATATAGTATATCCAATATTAGTTCGCGTCCACATAATTGACCAAAGTTCAATTTAATTACGTATTACATATGGTTACAACCATATCACTATTAGCATGCACGGAATATTTTATTATCTTTTTTTTATTGGAATATACATAAAAAAAACACGGTACGCATACGAGTATTTCGTGTGTAATGGTCAGCATAAAAGTTTTTTTATACTGGCCATTTAATGATCGATCTCAAGCGTGGTCTTCGAAGGATTTAATTGAACATTAATATTTATGTTCTTTTATTATCATTTCGGATTTTTCGATAAACGTACAATTTTATATTTTTAATACCGATTGACAGTATACAACGCTCACAATTATTGGACTTTTGCCATGAACTCGCGGAAATGATAAAACCCATCTGGTTATATGGCATAATAATTTGAGAGCCGGTCAAATCATTTACAGCCCTCCCTTTCAATGCTTCCAAAATAGTACATTGTTGACTACATAAATATGTTCGAATTGAATATTTCACCAAATTCGTTTAAATTCGCATCATAACAGATTTCTTGAAAAACTCAAATCAATTACAATTACTGTTATTCAAAATTCGGCAACAATCTATATGCACGATAATTTCACTCGCATGTTTAAACAAGTTTAATCGGAATCCTGATTTACTTTTACGGTAAATTGGTTTTAAAAAAAATTACCACTGACCACTGGATGACCTCCTCAAAATGCTTTTAATGTTCACTTGTAATGTACTCAATAACACACTCACACACATAATGATATAATTTATTCAATATAAATAAATTATAAAATATTCATCTGTAATATTGTTGTACAGTATGATGTGCAAATATTTATGATCCATTTGAAAAAAAATTCATTATTGTGTACTCAATAACATTGTTTTGTTATATTTTTACGGGTTACTTTATTATTTAATTTATTTACAGCTTATAATAATTTGAACTTAATGTAATAAATAATATAGTTAATATTTTTATGGACTATATAATACTAAATATAATCATCAGATCACAAAATACTATAAGATGGTTTTATATTTTTAATAAAAAAGATCATCGTGTATTTAATTTCTCACAATTTTCCAACATTTTTGTAAATAACTTAATTCAAACACGCGTAATAGAAACTTCAACTCGATAGGTGAAAAATGTTATTATTCGTTTTTGCATGCTTACTGATGATATTCACGGTTTCACCTATTTTACATTTTTAATAACTTATAAAATTCCACTTCTTCGATATCATTTTTCGTAAGTTCATATTGCTTTCGTATTTCGCGTTGCAGCAGGTCTCTTGATACCTTCTTCCAATTTATATTCAAAGTTTGTTCTTTATTTTAAACGTTGAAAAATCTCATATTGTCTGACTGTGATATTTGAAAGTAACCATAATGTATTTCTACAGAATTGATTTAAATAACCGTTGCGTAATGTGATCGAAGAATCGGAGATTGGAATAGTGTCACGTTATTCCGTTTGAACAGACTCAAAAATTCCATTTAAAATTTTAATGGTTCAAAATGACAGTTTGAATTGTATTGATAACCGTATTTTCAAACATTTCTTTTTGCGTTTACATGTACACAACATATGATGTTTAACCCCTTTGAACCGAATGAGATTTATTTTTAATTTCTATGTCAATACATCTAATGCAAAATTAGTGTGCTCTTGAATCATGATTCCTGCGTACTAAGATAAAAATAAAAATAAATAAAATGTAAATAATGACGTTGGAGCCATTTGTAATTCAGATAATTTCAATGATTTTATCCATTATTTATACATGTAATAATATTATGTTATTCGAATTTTATGGGTTCCGTTATAATATCATTTTTTGAACGATCAATAAAATTCAACGCTACTGGGCAAATATTCTGAAAAAAATTACATTCTAAATCCATGTCGTTGGTACCTATGAAATGCATATTGGTATTGTGCGGAAAATCGAGCAGTTCTCAAAACCAAAACAATATACAACGTTTATATGATTGCATTGCGACCAAACGAAATAATCAGAAATTCAAATTTACAAAATATTTTACGAAGAGCAACATTTGCGTTTAAAATGTTTACTTTGTTACATATATCACGATGTTGTTATATGATATACATCGCATAATGTTATAATTATAACAGTAATTATTAAACGCTGTCAGTAAATATAATTACATGATATTTGATTTTACGGCGAATATGTACACATCGATTGGCACATGATTTTAAATCGCGAAGAAGCAATGAAATCTAAAGTTATGATGAGGTATGATGAGGATTTTAAGCGAACTAAATAACATTTAACTAGTACTCCGGTTTGCATTGAATCACCCAAATTTTCAATACGAAACGAATGGTGGACCAAAATACTATTTTCAACGTTCGCGTAATGCATAAACCACATTCTGCATTTGGGAACGTTCCCACCATATGATAAATCCGGTCGTCGTGTTATTGCTAACATTTCATCCGAGGAATTTGCATTATTAAAATATACTTGATCTCGATAAAATAGCGAAAACAACGCTCTTGCGTCATTAACAATCACGATACGATCGGCGCACAATGACGGTATTAGTTAAATTCATTTGTCATATGCGTTTGTCAGGGACAAAACCAGGAAACTATTTCTTTAAACATCAATGCATTACATATATATATACCGTTTAGCTCGGTAGAGATTTAACGTAATCTCTGTTTTCTAACAAAACATTACTTGACGAGAAATCCGGAAGACATTTTTTATTTATTCGGCGAATATAATTTTACGCACATATTGTTGGTGTTGAAGGTGAATAAAAATTGTAAAATATTTATTAAATAATAAATATCAGTCTTTTATTCAATATAAATAACTAATTTTAACAATAATAAAGATTTCGTGACAGACAGACGTTGTTTCTCTCTCAACCGTTGTAGGCGAGCTAATTTCGTCCACCGAGGCGACGCCTCGCGCCGCCGGCGGCGGCCAGACCGGTTCGGTCGCGTACTCGCGGACGTCAATCGGGACGCCGTGGTCGTTGTAATAACGACCACGATAATTTTTACAATGATTTCTTGTTTTCCATTTAATAAGTTTAAATATTCAAAAAAAAAAAAAAAACGCATGATGTAAGCATATTTGCATTATTTCTCTTGGCGATAAAGTGTCGTTCGTTTTCAACATTATATTTGAACTATTTATATTCGCATTACAAGTGTGCAAGTGCCATCAACAGTTTTGATGCGTTTTAACGCAAGAAAGCACAGGGAGATGAATAGTAAAATGTCTCCAATAATTTTGCAAATACCCTTAACATGATTCAGTCGTAGTTGGATTGAACAACTAAAATATTTTCAATGTGTTTCATAAAAATGAAAAAAAATGTTTAATACCAAAATTAATACCGATAATTGTTAACAAATCGAACTAATCATTAAATTGAAAACAAGATTTTTTGTCGACTTATAATCATCCTTATTAAGTATACAATTTCATATTTTTATCGTCGTTAATTAATTTACGTTAGTTTACACTTTAAATTGTTACTGAATATTACTAAAATTCAAAGGATAAAATATATATAATAAATAAAATAAAAAATATTCCTAATCGCATTAAAAGTTTTACTTTAAATCACAAAGAATTTACTTTGTAGAGCCCTAATAGAACAACTTCGTAGCGTAAAACATCAAAAACGAAAAAAAACATTAACCAAAACTACCTTTGCTTTGTTTTTTGCCTTTTTTTTTGTATCCTCGATGTTAAGGACACAATTTCCGCTGTCTTAATATTCAATATTTATTATTGGTCCTCATTGGAAAAAAATCCGAGAAAACATTGCTAAATGGATTCAAAAGATTCATTATCGTCAGATTTTCAGTACCCAAAAGAATATTGTTAACTCTATTTCCCTTTCAATTCTTCAATGTATGTGTACAAGTCTCGAGATCGTTTGCCACGATTCGTCATTGAAACATGATGTAGTGTTACGATCGCACATAGTCGATATCCATGAAACACGATAAATTCTTCTTTTTTTTTTCTTCCTACTCGCGTTCAGTACTGGGCAATAAATCAGTCATAAATGCTAGTTAAAATATATGTACCAAATAACATATTAAAATCGTTATCAGTCAGTAAATAAATGTCATTGAAGATAATACACAACGGAAATTGACTGATATGATTAATTTGTTAAAAATAATAATAACATACGAGTATACACACATAACTATTATGATGTAGTGATATTTTAATTGTTGATATACACCAACTTATTGTTAAATATGTCAGTACATTCGTTGGACACAGCCACTGCAACAGTTTTCATTCGACTTAATTAAAACAGATCGAATAATAAATGTATGAACGTGATACCTATTAGCGTATACCGAGTGAAATGATTCATGGATCGATGAAAATACGGGAAAAAATATCCGTGTGCATACAAAGGATATCGTTGAAATTTCGTATGACATATCCGATAATCGGATGGGACTAATAAAGTACATTTCGTATAACAATTAATTAATATGCATGAAATTTATTCAATTTAAAAATGGTACACTATATTCGTATGCGAAATTTTATCTATGTACTGTTTTCATAATTATATAAAATTATTTCTGTGTATATGAACTTATTCATTACCGAAAAAAAAAAAAAATGAAAATGTAAAAAAAATGATAAGGCTTTAAAGTAACAAACATAACATTAATGGAATAAAAATTAGTTACTTTAATTTGCGTAAGACCGACGCGTAATCACTTCGTATACCGAGGCATTTTATAATTCAACCAGGCTGGGGAACAATGAATTACCTCGGTAGAAGAAAATGTATTACCTTCATTGCTGTCAAAGAATTTTTATTGCTGATATTTTTTTTTTTTTTTTTAATTCATCTGGTTCATTTTTTTTTCGTAACCTTATTAAGTCTGGTATTGTATTCTAATGACCTGGTGGAATTTCGATATCGGTAACATAGGTCACATTGCACATGATCGACTAGTTGCGTTCCACAATTATTCTAATTTTACGATAAGAAAAAGTCATCGATCATTGATGGTAATATCTAGAATAGTAGTTTAAAAGTGTCATAGCTATGGAAGTGTGTTGACCAAAAAAAACTAAATAAAAATGCTCGTAAAGATTACATGACTTTATAGACTTTATTTGGATCCTAAGTGTTACCCATGGTATTGTTTTTTCAAAATCATCTTACCAGTTACTAGACGTTTGATTAAAATTATCAAAATTATTTATTAAAAATATAAAAATTGCTTGTAGTTATAATAATATATAAAATAATAAATATTTGTACAAGGGTTTTTGTGGTGATGAACCTACTGTTATGTGTCAAGTTTATATACGTTTTTAAATTGAATAGGAACCATAATGGTTTTTTTTTTTTATATCAACAATTATAGACAAACTATTATACATTAATATATGCGAACTTACTGTGTAAAGCATCTTTTCGTGTAGTACTAATAAAGTGAAAGTAAATTACAAAAATGTCTGTCTCTCTGGAAAATAAACGTACAGATTTTATTTTTGTAGCATAAATGCATAAAACGGTGATAACGTCAAACTATGCAGAGTCCACGACTTGATTTCCTATCAAATATAAAAACGATAAGGCTGGAGCCCCTTGACTCTAACTGCTTTTAATTGCCTTTCGTTCGATTTTCTGATCCGAGCACTGGGTGCCCGTCATTGACAACGGTCACAAAACATCCTCTGCAGACCCAACGAACCATACCCCCCATCTAGTACCGTATTGCACCATCACGTATTCTAACGCGTTTATCGTTTTCCAGGCATAGTTGTTGCGATCCCGCTCCGACCGTGCTGTCGGGTGCCGGCATATGCCTGATCGTGTTGGGCTACACAATGTTCGGCGCGTTCACGTTCATGACGCTGGAGAACGGCGCCCGGGACAATAGTGTGCAGCAGATCCGCAGCAGCCAGCAGCAGCAGCAGCAACAACAGCAGCAGCAACAGCAACAGCAGCAACAGCAACAACAGCAGCAGCAACAGCAGCAGCAGCAGCAGCAACAGCAGCAACAGCAGCAGCAGCAACAGCAGCAGCAGCAACAGCATCAACAGCACCACCATCGCCAACAGCAGCCACTGCCACCGCAGTATCATCTAGGGCACAACGACAAGCTTAGGGCGCAGACGGTCGAGAAGCTGTGGAAGATTACCGAGGACCTGAACATACTGTATCGGGACAACTGGACCCGGTTGGCCGAGCAGGAGATACTCAAGTTCCAGGACTCGTTGATCCGAAAATACGGTGGACCCAACCAGTCGGAACACAGGCACCGGTGGAACTTCGCGTCGTCCTTCCTATACTCGCTGACGCTCATCACCACCATCGGTAAGCCCGGATCCGGTTTACCGTTTTTACTTAAGCACATCCGTTTACCTATGCCGCTCACGCGTCGGCTGTAACCTATAAGCACCCGTCGTTTACACGTGTCCGTAATCGATTATACTTTTTCCCCCTTCCACGATTGAGCTGCCCTCGTCGAAGTCAACATAACAGCACGACGGCTGAGTTATACGGATCGTTAACATCTGATTATGCAGGACAATAGTGTGTTATGGTTTAGACGATGTGGAGCGCTATGCGTGAATAGATGATTATGTAAAGAATATGACCCGAGGGAATCGAGAGTTCAGGAGTGAACTGCAGGTGTTGATTGTATGGGTAACGGTGTGCGGGCAAATAAGGACAATCCTTCGAGGAAAACAAAGGGAATGCAGTTTCAAAAAAAAAAAAATACAAAAGAGATCGCAGTAGGTCTAAAGCCAAATATTGTGTGCTGACGATCCATGTGAGCATGTCAGTAGAGTGATTTTTTCCAAGCGCGTTTAGAATGAGCTGCAAATCGTTCATATTTTAGGTACGTTATCATCGATGATGTTACACTGGTGCTATGGTTTCGTCCGAAATATATCCCATGGTCGGATTTATATGAGGAGGAAGGAGACATAGTAATCTTCCCTCCACTTTAAAATATATTTACTGTTTTTGATAAAAGGTATCAAATCATAAGATATAATATTAAAAATATAATTTTACTCCTATTATTCTCCTCTTGCCCCTGAAAATAGCTCCAAATTCACTATCTGATATATTTACTACCATCGAATTCAGTTAATGCTTCCGAAAACCTACTCATCAAATGTTTGTGCACACTGCAGTTAGTTTTAGTTTTGTTCTTTTTCACAGAATTATCGTAGGTACACTAACCAAGGTTTGGGGAAAATGATCTTTTCGAAGCCGTGTTTGGCTACTTCCAATCACTGCGCCTATGCCACCACATGCAACTCACATTGAGCTCTCTCTATTCGTATTCCGAAAACACAAGTGCGTAATATTTTCGTATCATCATAATTTCAATACAGCTGGTGGGGTGGCTCTTTATATCTGATTTCGAAGCTACAGCTTACTACGGTTAACGGACGTTCTTAATACTAAAACGTAGAACGCTAACTCGTGGTGAACATACTATGAAACCGCGCATCATCCATGCGTGTTGTGAACTTTGCTTTAGTCGATGTTACGCCAACACATACATACACAAAAGTAACTAACGTCGGCGAAACATTAGGTAGTTGAATTTGTGCCGTTAAATTTTATTTCCCTATTAAATTTACGGTTTATCTCTTAACAAACAAAGAACTTTTTCTTTTCTCATGCCCACGTGATGTCCGCTCATAGATGAAATTACATGTACGTTTACGAAAGTTCAAGAACTTAATTTAAATTTTAAAATAAAATTCTAAATCTTAAAAGCACACAAGATAAAAAAAACACCCATTTTTTTCAACGACTATTACTGACTGAACGAATTTCGTGTCGATTCTGAATAATCGAGAAAATACCTCAGTAAAAAGTATTGATTAGAAAATTAGGACTTAAGTAATATTAAGCTTATTTTGGGATTTATACCCACTGAGTTTGTTCAATCACATTTTTCATAGTATAAAATTCAAGCAACATATCACGGTAGTCCTATATCAAAATAAAAATGTTTAATGTTATTGCAATATTTGCAGATATTTTATTAACTATTTAAACTGAGTAATTTTAATTAATTCGTTACAATTATTATCATAAAAATGTACATATTTTTATTGTTCAAAATGTAGTACTTATTTATGTACATTTTTCAAATTTAAAATGTACTTGCAATTAATAAAAATGCGATATTTGGGATTTAGATCACTTTTTTTTTTCGTTTATTAAAAACCTAAACACATTTTAAAAGTTTTTCATAACGATAAATCCGTAACATTTAATTATGCTCGTATACGTGTAACCTATATTTTTGTACCACTACTACTGCTACTAATACGTAAAAACACTTGTGGCTTTTCGTCTTTAAATGCGTTTTAATTTACTACGGTTTAATTGTATTTGTTTTCTACAGCAGTGTTTTTTTTTTTTATTTCTTTTTCCAAACGGGACTACGCGTGCACGCCAATTATTAATGTTCGTAGATAAGATTTATTGTGTTACTAATTAAAATCGAATCTTGTGGTCCGAGCACACATATACACACATCCCCGAACGCACTCGCAAAGTAAAACTGCAATTAAAACCGAACGACATACAGAATAGGGGTGCGGTGTTAATAAATCGTAGGTGCGCTGTAACACTTAGAGTACCGTGTGGCTGTCAAGTTACTAGTGTAGTTACTCTGTGTTCTGCTTAATAATATATTATGTCGGACTACAGCAGCAACGAGCAGACCACTCGTGGAGCAACGAAACGTTCTACATCAAATAACAATAATTGTCCAGCGTCATCCGATACCCGACCGCGTGTGATTCGCGTGTTACCCAGAGGCGTATTTAGACTTACTTCTAGGGGGGGGACTCAAATTTTTTCTTTAATTCAGGCTCAAAATTTACAAGTAAAAATGTTGGTTATATTTAAACGTAGTGAATCCTTAATATTTTTGGTTTTTTTTTTTATCTAATGTCGTATCCATTAAGAATCGAATTTTGTGTAGTTCTTTTTTAACACCTGTCTGTGTTTTGAAAGTTACGTTTGTGTTTTATTTGATTTTTCACTAAGTATGAACCCGAAAAAAAGCCCAATTCAGTATTCACAGTTATGCGTAATTTGATTTCGTTTTAAAATGGTACACATTATAAAATTTGAAATATATATCTCACATATAATCGATTCCTTAAATATGGATTCAGGGGTGGTGGGTGATCAGGCCTTTAACCACCCTAAAATACGCCCCTGGTTGAACAACTAGCCCTCCGTCCCCGGAAACTCACCGTGACGATCGACACGCGTTTGTGTTGTCGAGATTCGAGGATAATATGGATATGGATAACACGAGTGGAATTGTTAGAACACAGTTTTTGGAGTGCATATTGCCAAAGCGTAGTGGAAAGAAGACAAATGTTATCGACACGCGCGATGGAGATTAAATGGTTATTCAGCGTTCAAGGTTTTTTCAATTTTTTTTCCTTCTTTCATTCACCTAAAACAGTGTGGCCAATGTTTTGCGTTGTTCAACTATTTTAACAATAATAAAATGCACAGTCCCATCCAACGGCATTAGAAATGAAACACTTGGATTTTCTACTAGACATCGAAATGTTATGTTTGTTTTGGGTACGACGGAAATTTGCAATACTTTGATTATAAGTAAAAAAAATTAATTAACATACGATATCTGGGTGCTTTATTCAATTGTAATATGGGCAACGGGGAAACCAAACGCAAGACGTCATATGATTCATAAATGTAATAATCACTGCTAGCTGATCGATCGAATAAAATACCGTGGAAATGGATTTATGGATGAAAAGTAATGCTGAAAAAAAGTATTTTGAGTACAAGAAAGGTATTATATTGTTTTATTTGTTCCGGTTGATCACGATATTAGCCGTTCCCGTCGTTGTCCATAAAATTGTCACTAAAGTTTCTTGTCTTGAGTCTCGGCCTGTACTGTTACACAACAAAATTAAATTAAACAATATAATTCGTAGCCCTGGGTGTTCACATGCGATTTCTTAATATCAACGTGATCGGTGCATCGGACATTATTATATTATAGTTTTGCAACCGTCGCTTTGCCAACTCTTCTTCGTCGGATTTTCTAACCCGTTTTAGTGTCGGATCATTAATTGCATTACCAAGCAAGACGTTGTCGGCTTTAGGCTGTCTTGATCGCGTTTTTGATTACAATCGTATGAGACGTTTTTACGCGTCCCGATTGATATTAGTTCACGCATTCATTGTGACAGCTTTGTAAGAAAATATAACATTCGTCGACGCGATCACTTTGTGCAGTGACGCGATCCGGGAACAATCATTTTGATATCTCACGTGATAAAAATAATATTTTCTTCACAACTTTCAACTGTGATAGCCAATGGTAACAATTACGGATCAAAACCATTTAGGGAATGAAATTCATGGTAGAAGTAGCTTCCCCTCCTCTAAAGATAAGAACATCATCTATTATGTAGCGTTTTTTTTTTTAATTTTCTTTCGTTTTTTTACTTATTTCAATCATTTTTCTATGGCTATAGAAAAAACTTTGAATTCCTTAAACGTTAACTTTGAATCAATTTTTGTTAGCGAAAAAAATAAAAAACGTTACATCACAAAAAATATTTTTCTCTTTAAAAGATAAAGAGATAAAAGAAACAGAAGCGCGTCTACCGCGTATTTGCACTAGACGGTTTTGTGCCACGCAAAACGTATTTTTATGTTAGAATAACTGGAGCACCGCGTGCCACTTTTTAAAACGTAACGCGGTTTCGATAATTTCCGTGGGATGGGTATTTGCCGAGTAAAGAAGTCGTTGGAATCCGGCTTATGTTCATTCATCGTTTAACTGGCGTACGACTTATCCGGCTATACGGCCCCTACTAATCGAAGTCCAATAACGACATGGTACGATCTTACATGTAACCAATACGTGTAATTTTTCTAAAACGTAAACTCTAGGTGAAAATGAAAATCCACCGAGTGTTGCAAACCGAAAGGTTGTGGATGTCGCAGTGATTGCGTACAGTGGCGCGGAACGAATCACCGACAAAATACGAATATCGTCGGTAAAATATCGCAACTAAAATATCCTTTTTAATTTATCAGTTGGTTTCCTTGGAGAATACTACCACAGCATATCTTTATGTATTCTATGTGACTTTTTAAGGTTATAAATAAATTAAAATCAAAAATTAGTCCTTATAGTACTCACTATTGTTTTGCAATAATTATCGGACAATAGCTCATTTATTACGGTATACACTTTTGAAGTACATAAATTCCTTTTTTTTTTTACTCTTTATTAATCTATTATTATGATAATACATATATTCATAATATTTTATGCG